ATCAACAACCTGCGGTGCTCCAGCAGTGAGAAGTACACCCACTGAGATGGTATGTGCCGAGGCATTTCTGGGAGCAGTTATTTCATTTTTGGACCCAGGAAATCAGCACCACTGAACTGCATCTTGCCCCCCTTTGTCATTGTGGCTCCGAGCTGCGGTGGTTGCTCTGAGGACTGAGAGCAAGTTGTTGCTGCCATCTATGGTCTGTCTTGGGGAAGCACATGGTTTGCCTGCTGGAAAGGGAAGCAGCTGCCTTGCAGATTGAGCAACACAGCACCCTCTCTCTATCTGAGGGGAAAATAAACACCAAGATGTTGGTGTCCCCCAGTGTCAAACCCATTATGAAAACCTGTGTTTACTGACCTACCATCATTTTAAAGCAGTTCCATTTGAACTGCAATCAAATCTCCAAGTGACCTTTCTGTCCCTCCGCCCAGCATTCCTGAAAGGGCCTGTTGTTTCTTTGGTTCAATGAAGAAACCTTCTGTTTAGTTAAGCAAGTGTTTTTCCAGTCATGTCTCCTGGTGAGTTACAGAAAGATTATTGTTGGGTCGTGGTGGTGGTGGTGGTGGTGGTGGTGGTGGTGGTGGTGTTTTCTTTAATACCCCAACCTCCCTAACCCCTTGATATCCCCAGACACTTAATTTTTTTCTTCCTTAGTGGAAGAGAGCACAGTGAGCTGAGCAGCTTTGTGGAGCCTTTAAAAGTTTGTCGTTTTTTCAGATCCTCGTGTAAGCTGACTTCTCTCTGCCCCACTCCCTAGGGCCTGGGAGTCTTCCAAAGTGAGGTGTACACACGGGAATGGGCCACAGAACCGCCCCCTGCAAGCCAGGAATGCGCGTCCTGCCTGATATGTTTATATAGTGTGTGGTTTTCTGTCTTACAGCTGTTTGTTGGACTTGGGTTCCCTTACGAGGGCCCAGCTCCCCTGGAGGCTATCGCAAATGGATGTGCTTTTCTGAATCCCAAGTTCAACCCACCCAAAAGCAGCAAAAACACAGACTTTTTCATTGGCAAGCCAACTCTGAGAGAGGTAAGCATCTATCAAAAGTATTCTACTTTGAATAATATGAATAATAGCTATTTATTGAGTGCTGGTGTCGATATTAACTTTATTTAACTTGGTTGGGTGGGAGATGAAGATGTGGAGGCTTAGAGAGACAAGTGACCTGATCATGTCATCACCTTTCGAGTTAGGGCCAGTATTTGAATCTGTTTCTGCCTTCACCAAGTAAGGGATCTTGACACTCTGCCCCAACTCTAGCTTACTGTAAACTCAGACATCCTAGCCTTCTGCTTATAGCTGAACTCTGATTTCCTGAATGTTCGGAGTTCAAGGAGTGAGGTCAACTGGTTAGCAGATACATATGGAGAATCTGCTCCCTGTGATGGGCTTTGGAGAATAAAAAGTGGGCTGTGGGAGTTTTCAAAGAACGTCAACCTCAGGATACCAGGACTATTGTGGGTAGTTGAAGTAATGTGACTTATTTTTCACCCACCATCCCGAGATGTAATCCTGACATTGCTAGAACCATTTACAGAAGCCTCATTTGAATTGCCTTCAGAGATCCTGTTGAAAATCTGCAGTGTGTGATGCATCACCGTTGAGGGTAGCTGGATTTGATTTAGGGCAATAAACAAAAGTCTTTTACAGCTAAGTGTGAGTGATCAAGCTGGATGTTTATGCATCTGTCAGAAACAGGTGTGTGCAAGAAACCATAAGATTGATTTTCTCATTATTTCTGTGTAGTTAGTAGTAAGTGGCTCTGTAGGCTGCTTAGAAAGGTAAGTCATAGCAGCATCCTTGTCATTCAGGGCCTTTGATTGGGGGATTACATTGATGAGCAGCCCTCCTATGGCATATCAATGTAGAACGACAGTTTATAAAACATAAATTTTTCAGTTCTGCCTTTAAACCCTCTGAGTCATTTTCTCTCCCCAAGAGTAAATAAGGTGCATTTTCAGTGATTATTTTTTATTGGTCAGTCAGAAACCTTGACAATTCACAGAACTGATTGTTTTGAGAGTTATTTTTCTCTGACCCTTTCTGTCATTGGTGAAATGGCCAAAGGAGATAGAAGATCAATAAGATCCATAGTTTATCTACGAAAGGTTAATCTGTGGCCCAGATAACCAACAAGGGTTACCTGTGTATGTGTGTAGGTGGGAGATGGGATGGGGGAGGTTCCTTCTAGAATAATAATTTGAATTCTTCATTTGGGGAGTGGTTTTGTATTAAGAGGTCAGTTTGTTCATTCATAATTCAGCAATACTTAATGCACATCTGTGTGCTAGGCGCTATCTGTGTGCTAGGCGCTATAGGAAGTGATAGGACATAGAGACTAGGGACATTCAGTCTGCCATGAACCTATTCTTTTGAAAAGTTTAAAAAGATGCTACCCAGCAGTGAAAATATCTCAGTTTAGTAATCTCTGCTTTAGCATGTGACTGACTTGTTTGAAACTTTGGAGTTTGGGGTAGAACAAAAACGAATAAATCATTCCTTGGGTTTTTTATTTATTTTTGACAAATAAATATATTTAAGGTGTACACCTTGATGTTTTGATAAATAAAAACATTGTGAAATAGTCATTACAATCAAGCTAATATCCATCAGCTTACATACTAAGTAGATTTTTTTTTTCATGGCAAAAACACATGATCTCCTTTTTTGGAAAATTTCAAGTATGCAATGCAGTATTGTTAACTGTAGTCATAATGCTGCACACTAGCTCTCCAGAACTTACTCAACTTGCTTAACTCAAACTTTGACCAACGTCTCCCCAGTCCCCGTGCACCAGTCTCTGGGAATCACAAATCTATTCTCTGCTTCTGTCACTATTTTACATGCCACAACAATGTGGGATCATGCAGAATTTTCCTTCTGTGTCTGGCTTATTTCACTTAGCATAATGTTTTCCACATTCATCCATGTTGCCACCAGTGATAGAATTTTCTTCTTTTGCAGGCTGAATATTTCATATACATGTAATTTGTTTATCCATTTATCCACTGAAGACCACTTAGTTTGGTTCCGTATCTTGGCCATTATGAATAACGCTGCAGTGTACATGGGAGTGCAGATGCCTCTTTAACATACTGATTTTAATGGCTTTTGATATATACTCAGCAGTGTGATTGCTGGCTTATGTGGAGTTCTATTTTTTATTTTTTGAGGAACCTCCATTTTCTTTGTCATTATGGCTATAACATGATATTTTCACCGGCAGGGTACCAAGTTTTCCTTTTTTACCACATTCTTGCCAGGTACTTTCTATCTTTTGTCTTTTTGATAAAAACCATTTTAACAGGCATGAGGTGATATCTCCTCGTGGTTTTGATTTGCATCTCCCTGATGATGAATGATGTTGAGCACCTTTTCATATGTTTGTTTGCCTTAAGTATATCTTCTTTTGAGAAATGACTTCAGATTATTTGCCTGTATGTATGTGTGTGTATATATATATATATATGTATGTATGTGTATATATACATATATACACATACATACATATACATACATACATACACACACACATATAACATTTTGTTTATTCATCTGTTGATGGATATTTGGGTTGTTTACACCTTTGGCCATTGTAATGCTGCTATGAACAGTGGTATACAAGTATTTTTAGTCTCTGCTTTCAATACTTTGAGGAGCCTACAAGTAGACTTGCTAGAATTTACTTTTTATTTTGAAATAATTTTACTGGTACAGAAAAGTTGCAAAAATAAAACAGAGTTCAGGCATGCCGTTCATCTAGCTGCTGCTATGGCAGCTTCTACAAAACTACAGCACAGTGGTCAAAACCAAGAAATTAACATTGGTACCATAGTATTGTCTAAACTACAGACTTTATTTGGACTTCACCAGTTTTTCCACTAAGATCCTTTTTCTGTTCCTGGATCCAGTTCAGGACCCACATTGCATTTAGTAGTCGTGTCTCCTTAGTCACCTCTGACCTGTGACAATTCAGTCTTTCACTGTCACCCATGACCTTACCACTTTTAAGGAACACAGGTAACCATTTTTTGTACACTTTCTCAATTTGGATTTGGCTGATGTTTTCCCATGATGTGTTTGAAGTTTTGCATTTTTAGCAAGAATATCCCAGAAGTGATGTACTGTTCTCAGCACATCATTTTAGGGGGCGTATGATGTCAATATGTCATACTGATTATGATGCTAACCTTGATCACTTGGTTAAAGTAGTGTTTCCCATGTTTCTTAACTATGAAGTTACTCTTTTGCTCTTTTTCTCTATAGTAGGGCTAATACTTTGGGACTATGTGAATATCCTGTTATTCCTCAAATTTTTGTATCATACAGCAGTGGATTTGTATAGTATCACATACTATATAAATAATTATAGTATCATATAGCAGTGGATCATGTCTACAACAGTTATTACTGTGGTATTCTGATGGTGATTTTCTGTTCCCTCATGATTTTTTTTTTGTTGTTGTTGTTTTGTTTTTTGTTTTTTTTTTTTTTGAGACGGAGTTTCACTCTTGTTACCCAGGCTGGAGTGCAATGGCGCGATCTCGGCTCACCGCAACCTCCGCCTCCCGGGTTCAGGCAATTCTCCTGCCTCAGCCTCCTGAGTAGCTGGGACTACAGACACGCGCCACCATGCCCAGCTAATTTTTTGTAGTTTTAGTAGAGACGGGGTTTCACCATGTTGACCAGGATGGTCTCGATCTCTTGACCTTGTGATCCACCCGCGTCGGCCTCCCAAAGTGCTGGGATTACAGGCTTGAGCCACCACGCCCGGCCCTGCCTCGTGATTTTTTAAATGCGTGCAAAGCAAAGAAGCCCATCTCTTTTCTTACTGCAGTTTCTACATACAAGCCTTTGGGAAATGAGACAAAAGTATCTGAGATTAAATTGGCAACTGACACATTTTTCTTAATATTGCCTCTAAAGGTTTTAGTGACACTGTGGACACTGAGTATTTTTTCCTGGAGAAAAAAAAAAAGGACACTCTTAAACAATCTGAGCATTGCCCAGTGAATGATGTAATGTTTCATGGATCAGATCAGCCAGTGTGACGTTATCAAGAAAAATATGTTAGTTGTTTTCTATCAGTTGCCATCATTTTGTAATTTACTTTTTGCAGAGGTCATGGAAGGTTTTCATTCTTCATGCTGTAAGAAGAGAATATGCATTAGAGCTGTCACACTGGCATTTGGTTCCTCCTGTCCCTTCATCCCTTCAGATGATTCCACCAGCTCTTAAATGTGATGCTGTTAGAGAAACTGTGGGATCCTTCCACAGTTGCTCAGCGAGTGACCTCACACAGATGACTCCAACCGTCCTAGGCTCCCCCAGGAGGGCAGGATGCAGAGGGGAGTTGACAGGTGTTTAATGTGTCCCCACAGGATGGTACTAGTTGCTGCATTGGGAGAATTCATCAATGTACATTTCCTGTTTTCCCGGAGCTCCAAATCTGATATGAAAGAGTTATAGGACAGACATATAATCAGTGGAAGTGCATGAAAAAATAGCTAAGTGAATTCAGGAGGGGAGTTGAACTTAGAGTTGTGCCGGGTGGATGATGTGCAGGGTTAGCTGCTAAGGGGATAGTGGAGGGGCTGTGCTTTAAAGGGAAAGGAGAGCAGGTCTCAAGCCAGAGAAGCATGAATACTGACAAGCTGGGGAGGCCCCAAGAAGGGCAGTTTGCTTTATCCAAGAGGGCAGATGGTAATCTGATAGCTGGCTCCCTCCGGCAACGTTAGACAGCACTGAGAGGGACCGGTGAGCTTGATCTCATGACCAGGTGGGTCACCCTGTCCTGCTCTGTCAGCTCACAAAAGTCCCCCAAATCCCCCTAACCGAAGAAGCTTTTAATGGGAAAAGAGCTGTCAACAGGTCTATTTCTAAGAGTCAAAAATTCCCAGAAGTTATTTTTCTTCCTTAGCAAATGGAAACATTGTAACCAGAGTATGCATAATTACAAAGCTAATCTTGCATATCAAGCAGTAATTGATCCACATAAATTGATTATATCAACTCCATGTATGTCTCTTTGCCTTCATTTGAAAAGAAGAAAAGTCCAGATATCTAAATGTGAGTTTAGCTTGGTTTTTATTTTTGCATTGGACCAGTTTTTCAAACCGTGATGTCTACTCAGAGGGGGAAAAGTTCCACAATGCCTTAAGTAATGTGGCTGGTTCAGATGTTTTTTTAATATAAATTGGATTTTTACCTTTACTTTGGGAAACATATGAGTAAGTTCTTGATCATTATTCTCACATTTTGTAAGCCATTAGAAATACTCCGGCTTCAGGGGTTTTTTTTTTCCCCCTTTTTTTCCATAAAGAGAACTCATGTTCTCCTTGGAGATTTAATAGCCAGTCCGAAATAATGTCTCGTATTTAGTAAGATTTTCATTACTTTTACAAACTATACTCCAGTAAATTTACTGATTGATATACAATGAAATAGCTTAGATCAGATGGTTCTCAATAAATTAACAAGAAGGAACTTAACATTCAGAGGGGAACTAATGAATCACAGAATGCCTCACTCGTATAGTTAAGTAAACTTCAGTAAATGTAAAAGGATAATAGCTCAGCATTTTGTATTTTCAGAGTGCTAGGAGCAACCTTGTAAATAAGCAGAGACCTTAAAAGGCGGAAGAGGAGAGAGACGGCTGAAATGTGAATTACTGAATAGTGACATTGATGACAACTTTAACTTACCCTGATTCTGTCAGAAAAACTAATTAGTTTGTTCTCCAGGCCACAGAATGAAAATGATGTGACATTTTGCTCATCATCAGAAAATACAGGCCTAAATTCAGTCCTGAATTTAGTTTGGCAAGTTTTAAAAGCTGGACTAAAAGGCTGGTGTTTACGTTGGGCTTTTGTCTTTGTCTTTGTCTTAAGAACCCAAAGACATGCTTTAGAATTGTTACCTTCTTTTTTGTCCAAAGCTAAGAAGTTGTTGAAGGACTTGGATTTGAAATTGGCTCTTCTTCTTTCTGGCTTGTATGGTCTTGGGGGAAGTGTAATTGCCTCTCAGTCTCAGAATCGTCATTGATGCATAATAAACCTGATACATAATGTTTGTGCAGGCGATTAGCCGGACACCTGGCCCAACCTAGGGCTTCCTTGATAAGTGTTGAGTCCAAAATGTGTGCAGAGAAAAAAGAAATGGAAGTTTCCTGAGCTCTGTGGGCCTGCAGAGAGTCTGTAGCTTCCATCACTGACCATAGAGCTGAGCCAAGGAAAAGAGCACCTGTTAGAAGGGTGGGAAACTGAAGAGGCGGATGAGGGGGTGCTGCTGGGTAGAGACCAAGATAACCTGCAGCCAGCAGAGGCTCACTGCTGGGCCCAGGGACTTGTTGGGCTTCCTGCCTTGAATAGCACATGCATGCTCTTGGTGTGGTAGGATACAAAGAACAGTGGCTAAGGGAAAGATGGAGGGGGTGCCAGTTAATTCCTCCAGCCCTCTGAGAATACTGGAGTCTGAGGAAAAGAGGAGAATCAGCTTGGCTTCCAAAGCAAAGGCCTCAGCACTGCCAGACCCAATATTTCCTATTATTATAAATATGAGATGAAAGTTGTAAATTGTATAACCTTGCCTACCTATGTAATTTCAAACGGGATTAATTCTCTAACTCAAATATGATGGAGAAATAAAAGGAAAATAATTTCTAATAAAGTAATACATATTTCAGTCTTATGGAGTCAAGAACTATACTGTCCCATTCCCAAGAGTTATACCAGACACTCTGATGCCTTGTTCCTCCTCACTGAGTGTTTTTATTTAAAAGGAGTGAAACATCCAGCTGAATATGCTCAGCCTTTTTACTTAAAATTGACATTATGAAGGAGGAGCAAAGCCTGAGTGTGTTTACATTTACTCACATATGAACAGAATTGCCAGTAATGCAGTAGCTCCAAATGTAGACTATTGTAGGTATGTTTTACTGGAGGTTCTGACATCCTCAGTGGCATTGACTTTGCTGCTTTGATCTTTCTGAAATGGTGACAGCTCATTGATGACATTTCAGATAAAACAGAGCACAGACATTGCTTCATTTACATAGTGATTATGTCTCCGGATAATTCAGTGTATGTTTAAACTGTCAAAAAGTTAGATTCTGGCTGGGCGCAGTGGCTCATGCCTGTAATCCCAGCACTTTGGGGGGCCAAGACAGACGGATCACTTGAGGCAGGGAGTTGGAGACCGACATGGCCAACGTGGTGAAACCCCGTCTATACTAAAAATACAAAACTTATCCAGGCATGGTGGTGTGCACCTGTAGTTCCAGCTACTCAGGATGCTGAGGCAGGAGAATCACCACTACCCAGGAGATTGCAGTGAGCCAAAATCACACCACTGCATTCCAGCCTGGGTGACAGTCGGTCTCAAAAATAAATAAATAAAAAGTTGGATTCTATAAGCCCACATGAAAGCCCCGCAGGGCGTTTGAAAGTTTCATGGGCAGTGGACAGTTCTTCCTGTGCGGGACTGTCTTGCACATGGTGCAGCAGCTTACATCCCTGGTTCCCACCGATAGACTAGGAGTAACACTCGCTGGTTATTATGGTATCTGAAAATGCTCTCACACAGGTCTAGAATGCTCCCTTTACAACATGACCTTACAGGGATATGAGGATAGAGGCGGAAACAAAATGAGGGGGTAAATTTAGCTGTATTAAAGAATGGACTCAACTGAGCGCAGTGGCTTGTGCCTGTAATCCCGGTACTTTGGGAGGCTGACAAAGGAGAATCACTTGAGGCCAGGAGTTTGAGACCCACCTGGGCGACATGCAGAGACCCTGTGTATACAAAAAAAAAAAAAAAAAAAAAAAAAAAATTAGCCAGGGATGATGTGTACATCTGTAGTCCCGGCTACTCGGAATGCTGAGGCAGGATGATCTCTTGAGTCCAGGAATTTGAGGCTGCAGTGAACTATGATTGCATCACAGCGTTCCAGTCTGGGCAGCAGAGCAAGACCCTGTCTTTGGGGAAAAAAAAAAAAAAAAAAGAATGGACGTTTCATGAATTCAGAATTGTCACTGTTTGCACTTGGTTTCTTTGACCACACATTGTTTTTAAAATAAAACCTCCTTTAGGATAAAAACTGCCATTCCTTGTTATTCTGAATGTCATGGTAATGATTATTCCTGAAACCACTTAAAAAATTCTGTGTATTTCTGATGGTCTTATTTTTTTTCTTTCTATCACCTTTTGTATGCACCATTACTTTAGCCTCCTGGGACTTTACAACCTTGATTTTTCTTAGAATTGTCTATGGTTACCTGTCTGTCTTAGCCAGGCTAATAGGTAGATACTGGTTTGATCTATTAATAGGTGATTTTCAAGGCTGGGTTCTTGATGTGATGTTGAGGGTTAGTGCCACCTGTAGCAGCTTTCTTGTCACCTGGTTATGACATTATCTTATTTCCAAGTGGGATTCAAGATGGAGAACCATCACTGTTTAATTGTTATCTGCTTATGGATGATTTTGATCATCAAGGGGAAGGACAGAATGTCTTGTTACCTACATAAGTATAACTCAGTACTGTAAAAAGCATAGCACTCCATCTAGCACAGAAAGTTATTTTAAAAATCGCTTGTGAGACTGAGGTGTTTTGTTCTTTTCCAGCTGACATCCCAGCATCCTTACGCTGAAGTTTTCATCGGGCGGCCACACGTGTGGACTGTTGACCTCAACAATCAGGAGGAAGTAGAAGATGCAGTGAAAGCAATTTTAAATCAGAAGGTTGGTTTCTTTTATTCTACTTTCCCTCATTTCTGATGTAACCTGAAATGGGTATAAAGCATCATAGGTCCTTGGCTTTAGTAAACAGATCTTTTCCACGTCAGCTTAACCCTGGAGTTAGAAAATAACCAAGCTGTAGGATTTGGCCCGGGGATTTCATGAATGTTCTGTGAAATGGAAACAGAGCTGGTATCCTGATATGGGCATGGATTCCATAGGCCATTTCAACATGACTCTGGATCCCAGGCACAGGAGCAGGAGCTGGAGTCATACTTGGTTCAGGGATCTGATTGTGTTGCTCTCACAAAGATCTAAAAAGATAGTCCTGCATCCTCTATAAAAGAGCAAGAAGAGCAAGGAATTACTGGGAAATGTTTTTATAGAAAATCTGTTTTTTTCCTACCTAAACATTTTGTAGAATTTTGTAAAAATAACTATATTTCTGGCCTCTTCTGATCAATTCAACAGACATTTGTCAGGTACTTATCATACACAAAGTACTCTCTGAGCCACCTGGGCCTGGGGTTAGGGGACAGCATGTTTACTTCCATAAACATAGAGGAGGCTGGCTTCCCACCTGTCAGAAGTTTACCATCCAGTAAAGACGAGTTCAATTAATCCTGTCTCCCAGCTGAGCCTGCTGTGGACTTTCACAGCTACACTCTACTGCTGTACTTTGATGGGAGCACTGTTTACACTTCGTTATGATGCTTGAAGAGAAACCAGTGTGGGCATGTGGGAGGGCAGGCTGGATTCACACAGCGTGGGTTCAGTTCTAGCTCTACCACTTACTAGCAGCTTCCCTTCATTTATAATGTAGGCCTAATATTACCATTTTATTGGTCACTTGTGAGGAGTAAATGAGATAATTTATATAAAGTGCTTAAATTCAGTGTCCTACTACACAGTGTTTAGTCAATAGTAAGTATTCTGATTTTTGTTGATAGTCTAAATGTCTACACCATTAGCAACATGAAGTCAGGAAATACATGTCTCATTTCTGTATTACCAGTGCCCACATAGGGATTTTTTTACCCAGTGGATAGATGGGAGAGAGGAATAGATGTTTGCAAGTAAGTATAATACAAGGCTGAATATGTTCAGTGCCAAAGCAACATACAAACACTCCAGGAGTGGAAGTTGTGGAAGCCTTTCTGGAGAATGCAGCCTTTTAGTTAAGTCTTATAGATGAAGATAATTTGCAAAGTAAAACTGAGAAGTGGACCCAGAAGGGCATGGGTTCAAAGCACAGTGTGACTGAAAGGGAAAAGGCTGGAAAGGCATATATCCTGGGAGGGATAGCCAGTTCACCCACGTGGAGGCTGTCTTACCCCTTTGGGAAACAGAATAGGATAATCAATTTGTGGCCTGAGGAACTGCTGATGTCAGTTAATTCAGAACATCTCCAGGGGAGTGAGGGCACTCTGATGCATTATCTGTGTTCTGTCTGCTTCAAGGTGATCTGGTTATGGTGCTTTGGTGTCAGCTTCCCATTGATGATACATACAACCCCAATCCTAGTCTGAGCAGTTTAGGGCAGAAGTCCCCAACCTGAGGAGACGAGCTGATAAAAAAAGTACCAAATGGAATGTGGTTCCTCTATACTGCCTCAAAATATCTGCCACACGCCTAAAGCTTCACCACTGGAGTCATTCCTGTGGAAGGTGAAGGTTCTTCTTTCTTGATTCTCCCAGTCCCTTAGTATGTGAGCTTCCTAGGGCTGTAACACACTAGTACAGACAACTCAGTGGCTTAAAACAGCAGAAATGTGTTCTCTCTGTCCTGAAAGCAAGAAGTCTGAAGTCAAAATGTCAACAGGGTCACGTCCTGCCCCTGAAGTCTCTAGTTGGGTATCCTTGCATCTTTCAGCTCCTGGTAGGCCTAGGCGTTCCTTGGCTTGCAGCCTCAAAGCTTTGATCTCCGCCTTTGTTTTGTGTCTTCTCCCTGTGTTTGTCTCTGTCTTTTCCTTTTATGCAAGATTAGGGCCCAGCCTAATTCAGTGTAACCTCATCTAACTGTGTTACATCTGCAAAGACCCTAATTCCAAGTAAGATCACATTCATGGGTACTGGGAGTTAGGGCAGCATATCTTTTGAAGGGGCACAGTTTAATCCATAACACTTAGGGTAATGTGTGTGCTCTTGAGGAGAGGAATTTAAAAGCTGAGGTAGAGGCAGAAAAGAAAAACACACCAAGAAACATTATCATCAAACTGCTGAAAAGCAAGGATAAGGAAGAAAACCTTGAAAGCAGCCAGAAAAAAATGTATTACATTAGAGGAATAATGGTATTAAAGAAGCCAATTTCTCATCAAAAATAATGGAGACCGTAAAAGGGTCCTTGGGAGCCAGAATATGTGGAGCCTTTCAGCAGGCCATGGTAAGTGTTCAGGGGTTTTTTTATGGAGTATTTTTGTGGGTTTTTTTTTTGGGGGGGGGTGTTTTTAGTTTGTTTTTAAGTGTGTTCAGGATTTTATAAGTATGATGGGAAGTTTTGAACAGGGGAATGAGATAACCTAGTTTACATTTGAAATCATGAAGAGAAATTACAGATTCTGCTTAACTCAAAATCCTATAGTTAGTAAATGGAGGAGCCATGAGTCAAACCCTGGCCTCCTGGTACCTTCTAAGACTGTTTCTTACTGAATGATGTCAAACCACATCTGTCAGGTCAGACCATGGAGGGCTTCTCATGGAGGCTGATCTCTGAAAGCAGTTGCCTGTAGGAGTTATTCCCTGACTTGGAAAGGTGAGTGGGTACTAGTGGAGACAGGAGATCTCACAAGAAGGGAGGTCAAGAGGAGAAAATGGAGGGGAAGATAAGGGAAAGTTTCCAAGGTCAGCAGGAACTTCATAGTGCCATCTGCAGGCATCCCTCCTGTGGCCCTTGCCATACGAGTAACAGTCTTTTTTTAAATAACAAAGCAGGATACCCAAGAATACTTCCTTGCTTCTCCATAGGTGGCCCAGCTTGGGTTTCTCAATGACTGGATATGATTTAGCATTCTCCTTCACTCTGTCCCCCAAAGAGGCCTTCATTTGTTCCTAAAGAACTTTTATGCAGAAAACTGCCCACTCTCCCACCTCCCCTGTCCACATAACAGCTTTCACTTCCAGGGCTTGCCAGAGTTCTCGAGAGCTTTCCAATGCAGAAGGCCCTGCCTGCCCTCACCCACAGCGTCCAGCAATATAGACCTCCCTCCCTCCCACCCCTCCTCTCCCTCCCCTCCCTTCCTCCTTTCCTCACTTCCTTCCCTTCTTTTCTCCCTCCTTCCTTCCTTCCCTCCCATCCTTGCTTTTTGCTTGTCCTTTACAGGAAAATTGTTTGGCTTCATATCCTTTAAAATAGTGAATGGCCCCAAAGCAGTGAATGAGTCAACATCCCTTTGGTTAAACTGGGCTTGGTTGGTAGGAGGACAGAGGAAGAGTCATTTTTCTGTATTTCTGGCTTTGAACACTTTGAA